ACCACGGGAGAGTTATTATTATTATTATTATTATTATTAAATAATATCATCATATATTAATACATTAACATTAAAATATTAGTTTAATTATAATATTTAAATTTAGTCTAATACTGCCTTTACAGTCAAATTACGTAACATTTAATTAATAACAATAGTAGTGATATAGCCAAATACAATCCAGCAATCATTTGGTTTTAATTTAGCATATTTATTATATATAAAATATTACCTGCATTTCTTCCTGTTCTGGTAATTCAATTTGAAAATTTATATTTGCTAAACAACACGGAACAAGTCTTCTCAATTTTACAAAAAGACTCTGAATATAAGAAAGAAATCTAATGTATAGTTATTTGAAATAACAAAATAAGAATAAATTTATTTTTTAATTATTTCTATTTAATTGATTTGTTTAGAATTAAAAATTGCAAAACATTTTGTGTCATTAGTTAATCAAAGAACACTATTCTTTACACTAGTAACAATTGATTAAAAAAGTTCTTCGCGTGAAAGGAGGATTTCAGCATTCTAACATTGAAAATGTACTATTTATTCTAAAAACAAATAAATGCCAGTCAGTAATTAATCAATTGTATGAACCAGGGGTCACCAAAATATGACCACACTATGTGACAAATGAGCTAAAATATAATTATTTATACGGAAATATCATAGATTGTAGATAAACTTACTATGTATAAAAAATTAAAATAAGTGTAAGTAAAAAAGCCAAAATTAGTTTAATCTGATTTTTGCATCTGAGAGTAATATAATTTTTTAGAAAAATCAGTGAAATGAAAAATTTGGCAACTTTTTACGACTTTGGATATCAGAGCACTTTTTGTGTAAGTACTGTACCTGCAATGAAGTTTCTAAGAAAAGTGATTACGAGCTTGCTGCAGTGATTGTGTTTGTGTATTTATAAATAAATATGTTGGTTGCAAGGGTGGATCTAGGTTTTTCAGGGCCTAGGGCTTATTGAAGTCCAATGGAGCCCTATTTTTGTTAATATACCAGGTGTATAAGCTTAAATCCGCTGTTTGCTAATAGATGGCGTAAGCGAGCGTATTAAGTTACTATGACGACGCCATATTGATTTTTGATGATTTTGACGTCTGTCAACATTAATCAGTGCACATCATCAGATATTTCATACAACAACATATTTTTTTTTTTTTTTTGTAATCATGTCTACTTTTGTGCTAGAAAAAGAGCATATGCGGCAAGCTTTGCTTTTCTGCTTTAATTTGAAGTAATCGGCTGCCTAAGCACATCGAATGCTTGTGGAGGCTTATAGAGACAGAGCTTTATCGGAAACCACATGCAGAGATTGGTTTCATCAGTTCAAAGATGGAAATTTTTACCTGAGCAACAAGAAGCGTGAAAATCGGCCCAGGAAGGTTGAGGACCATCAACTGCAGGCTCTTTTGAATGAGGACGATGCCCAATCGCAAAAAATGCTTGCCGAGCAATTGGATGTTACTCAACCAGCCATTTCCATGCGTCTATGTGCCATGGGAAAGATTCAGAAGATCGGAAAATGGGTGCTGCATGAATTGAACGATAGGCAGATAGAGTGACGCCAAAAGACATGCAAAATCTTGCTTGCCAGACAAAAAAGAAAGTCGTTTCTGCATCAGATTGTAACTAGCCATGAGAAATGGATATATTTTGAGAATCCTAAACACAAGAAATCGTGGGTGGAACCAGGCGAACCATCAACATCTTTCCCAAGACCAAATCGCTTTAGACGGAAGACGATGCTCTGCGTTTGGTGGGATCAGCAGGGTATTGTCTACTATAAGCTGTTGAAACCTGGTGAAACTGTCAATGCTCACCGCTACCACCAACAACTGATCAAATTGCACTGTGCTCTGCATGAAAAAAGGCCGGATTATCAGCAAAGACATGACAAGCTGATTTTCCTCCACGACAATGCACCATCGCACGTGTCAACATTGGTCCGAAACTACTTGGAGACACTCAACTGGGAGATGCTACCCCATCCCGCTTATTCACCAGACCTGGCCCCTTCCGACTATCACCTCTTTTCATCGATGGGCCACGCGCTTCCTGAGCGGCACTTCGATTCTTACAAAGACGTCCGAAAATGGCTTGATGAGTGGTTTGCCTCGAAAGAGAAGAAATTTTTTTGGCATGGTATCCACACATTGCCCGAGAGATGGAACAAATGTGTCACTAGTGAGGGAAAGTACTTTGAATAAATTTGTTTTTGCTTTCTAAGAAAAAAACGTGTGTTTTTCTGACTAAAAAACAGCGGATTTAAGCTTATACACCTATGTAAATGATACTATAAATTATCAATATTATTATATTATTAATATTAATTATTTTTTACTATATGATAAGTGCTCATTGTTAATGAAAAAATATTAAAGATTTATGATAATAATTCAATTTTTGTGGGCCCTTGACAGTTGTGGCTCACAAAAATTAAGGGCAGATCTACCTATGTAGATCAACCCCTGGTTGTCTTTATTTTTTGTGTATTCACTGTACTGAACAAAATGGTTATGAGGCCCGCGCTTGTCATTCTCTCAGCTATCTGGCCCGCTGTGAAAAAAGTTTCGTGATCCCTGGTATAAATGCTAAACTAGTGACAAGAAGAAATCATTTTACAATAATAGAATGTGAACCAAATAAGTTATTTCTAGCTTAAAATCAATATGACACCTTATATAACCAGGAAATAACACTTTAATGCTAACGTTTTGGCCAACTCTAATTGGAATACATTGGTGCCTCATACTTCAAACTTAATTCATTCCAGGAGGTTATTCAAACCCCAAATCGTTTGAAGTCCAAAGCAATTTTTCTCATAAAAAAGATGAAAATTGAATTCATTCATTCCTCGACCACAATGATACCCATTTTGATGAACTTTAAATAATGTGTATTTGCAGTTTTATGTAGAAATACAACAATTACATGCTCTAATAATAAATTAAAACTTAAAAACAATAAATAAAATATGTAAATGTATAATAAAATGAAAACTGCATTTACTGTTGCACACTGTCCACTTTGGCTTCTTAAACATGGCTGCTGGTCTGCTACATGTGTACTGCTTTCACGTTTTGCAATAAGTTCCTTTTTAATTTCAATTGTGGATACAAAACTTTCCTTTTAGACTCTGTTGCTTCCACATTCTTTTTCAAATTCCATGATGTGAGCCTGCTGATTTTTACAAGGCTCTTAAAATCAAAAATTAATGTCAATTGTTCTCAAAATGTAAGCATCTTTGTTAGAAAAAATGGAGATGTATAAATTAGATCAGAGGTCATCGGTTGTAGTAACAAGTCAATGGGGAAGTTGACACATAGCTGTCAAGAATGCACCATCATCGTCAACAAAAGTTGATCACGTGTTAGATTTCCCACAACAATGATATAAAAGATGCGAGCCACCAGAAGCTCAAGAGTTTGCCCATGGAAGTTATATTTAGTCTTAGTGATTCCCCGTCTCCCACACCTCCATGCAACGGACTCAATCTAGTCTCTGAAGAAAACAACAGTAAAAGACATCGACAACGCCCAACGCTTCCATAAAGAACTGTCATCACCGCATATAGGACTCCTCCAACTTTAGAGGTAATTATCAGCATACTGTGAACTCTCTCTCGTAACAGAAGTAGGCATAGCTGTCATAGAATAAACCAAGCAGTTGTCAATCATAGACTTTGTAATCTTATGTTAATCGCATCTAGCCTATATAACCTAGATATATATGCATTTAACATGGTGTAGCCTCCTGTATTTTAGTGTTAGCCGTATAATAAAAGCTTTGTTATTTTGTTAAATCAAAACAAACCAAGAGGGACATTTTTTTAATTTAAATAATGATTTGCCTCTTTGTGCTTGTAGTATATACAGTTTCTGTCAGCTTTGTCATACACATATATGACATAATATAAGTGTTTCTATAGAATGAAGGATAGAGTATCTCAAGAGACTGACTAATTTTAAGTGCAGGTTATATGTTAAGAAGTTGAAAAATAATTTTTTCAATAATGGATATTTTCCTGGATGTGCAAGAAATCTGTTGTTTGTGATATAATGAATTCTCAGAACAGACAATTTTCAGCTGCCTGAGCATCCCATTAAAATGAGATTCTACTGTATGTATATTCCGTATAATTCAAGTTTGATAGTTTTGTGACAACCACTTGTCATTTCTGTATATAAAATTAAACTGTCAGTTACAGAGCATTTGTTTATAAACTTCTAGAGTGTTCCATTGCCCCTTATTTCCTGCTGGGGCAATAAACCCAGCAGGAAAGCAGGAGAGAGTATGTATCAACTTATGGTTGAAAGAGCAAGTCTCTTTTATTTTCGGTGCCATTATGAGTAGAACATGAAGGTAACCAGCAACAATGAGACTGTACAAAAAAAAAATTATAAAAGTTAACTATCTCTGCTTCAATTGACAAGATGACCAGGAGAAGACAGTGATTATGCAGTGATAGTGAAAAACTTCTATAGTACTTCTTTGCCCCTGTATTTTCAATTGTCTACTGATAATAAGATTGTCATGTAAAAAAATTTGCAGATTAGACTAATATGTAATTGTTGCAAAAAGACAAAATGTCTGATTGTAATGGGAACCTAAAGCATTGTAACATTTGAAAACCTTCTGAATATTGTGTGTATCGGATTTGATGTTAACTCAATTTTGTGTTAAGAAAATGAAAACTTACAGTTTGAAGTTCACTCACTCCCAATGAACTCAAACTATCTTCTTTTATATATATATATATAGAATATTGTGGCAAATGCTACGTTTCACACCTTAGCCATTGTGAAAACAAGCAACAAACCCCAAGTGCATCATCACTTCCTAGAATGAGTCCAAACACACCAAGTGAAACCATTAGTAGTTAGTTATATTTTGTTAGTCACAACAACAAGGTGTGTGTGCAGTTTTCACAAGGAAGACAATAAACTTAGTTATTGTGTTATAACCTAGTCTCACAGAATCACTAAGGAGGATAATCAACATAAGAAAACTTTATTATAACCCAGTAACAACTAATTTTAATTAAAACTAACATTTTCAACCATAATCATGGTCTTCCTCAGTCTTTTGACTAGTACAATTCAAATATGGAACTCATCAAACAACATATTTAAAAATTATTTTAAAATTCCAAAACATTTAAATGTTAGAAGATAATTTTTAGCCGTAATGCCAACCAAAGGCATACTACTATCCTAGCTGCCTATGCAATGGACCCCAAAATACAAACCGACCTCCATAAGGCTAAATTGGTGAAAATATCACATCAGGTTGAGCACCTTT